CCAGGGGAGGCAGCTGGTAGGCCACCTCGTGAGCTCAGCTTTGAGCCTCCCTGCAAACCCTGGACAGCTGGGAAGGCCGCCGTGCTTCAGTCCCGTTAGACACAATTCCTCTCTTCCATGGTTTGAAGGGTTGACACGTGATCGGGGGAAACCTCTATTGCCGTGGATTATAAATAGCAGCTGTGGGTGAAATTTTATGGAGGCAGGTGACCTTTCAGGAACTTAAAGCTATTTGAAAATGGGATGCTTTGGGGGGTGATGAGGTCCCCATTGCTGGCAGTCCCCAGATAGGAGGGCCCCAGGGAAAGGATTCGGGACCCCGGTGGGGACCTACCCCAGATGACAGGCGAAGTTGCTTTGGAAACCAAGCCCTGAGAGGTCGCGGAGTTTCCTCAAGGCACACTCAGTGAGAAGATGCTTTTGCAGATACCCCGTACAGATGGGCTTAGGCACCAGCCGTGGGTTCCTGTAGCAGACAGAGGAGCGGGAAAGCCCATCCCGTCTGGGAGTGGGGGTAGTTCCACCTTCCTGCAAGGCTGGGCTCCAACGATGAGTGAACAAGGAGGCCGCACTTCCTGTCACACAGCAACATGCTTGTATTAGTTTCCTAGAGCAGCCATAACAAATGATTACAGACCAGGTGGTTTAGAGCAACAGAAATTGATTGTCTCCCAGCGCCAAAAGCCAGACATCTAAAACCAAGGTGTCAGCAGGGCCACACCCTCTCTGATTCTCTGGGTGAAAGACTTCCTTGCCCCTCCCAAGCTTCTGGTGCTTGCGGGCACGCCTGGGCGTCCCTTGGCGTGTAGACACATCAGTCCAACTGATGTCTTCACATGTCATCTCCCCTGTGTGTGTCTGTGTCCACATTTCCTTCTTTTCTTAAGTTTTTTTTAAAGATTTTATTTTTATTTTTAGAGAGGGAGGGGAGAGAGATAGAGAAACATCAATGTGCGGTTGCTGGGGGTCATGGCCTACAACTCAGGCATGTACCCTGACTGGGAATCAAACCTGCGATGCTTTGGTTCGCAGCCCGCGCTCAATCCACTGAGCTACGCCAGCCAGGGCTCACATTTCCTTCTTATAAGGACACCAATCGTTGGATTTTTTTAAAAGATTATATTTATTTTTAGAGAGAGGGAAAGGGAGGAAGAAACATTGAGAGAGAAACATGATGTGTGACAGGAACATCAGTTGACTGCCTCTCCCCAACCGGGGACCTGGCCTGCAGCCCAGGCATATACCCTGACAGGGAATCGAACCTGAGACCTATAGGTTTTCAGGGTGATGCCCAGCTCACTGAGCCACGCCAGTCAGGGCACCAAGCATTGGATTTGGAGCCCACCCCAGTGTGACTTCATCTTAACTGGGCTCCGTCTTCAAGACCCTGTTTCCAAATAAGATCACATTCACAGAGACCAGGGGTTAAGAACTTCAACATATCGGGGGGGCCCCCACAGTTCAACCCACGATAGTGCCCATTCTTTTCGTCTGTGCCGAGGAGTTTGGTGCGGGGGGAGGGAAAGGAGAAGGGGCATGCGTTCGTGTATCTTGGAGCATAATTCCACGTGGTGGCATCTACAGTGTGTTCACACAGCCCCAAGAGAGGGGAATGCCTATCGCTATGGTGTAGTTGAATTGATAAACCATAAAGATGGATGGTTATGAACCCCATAGAAAGAATGCTGAAAATGAGTTAATATGTTAGGCAGTGATTTCTACTTACAATTTCTGTCAAATATAAAACAGCATCCTCAATGTAGGGTGGAGGTTAGCCAAATCGACTGGAGGAGCATTCGGAACAAATGTGTTTTATATGCAAGCCAACGTTTCAAAACCTGAGTTTTATTTTCAGATTGAAAGTTTGAATATAAGGTTCCCACATTTCTGCCAAAGCATGTTTTTCTTTTAGCATTATCAGTGATGGAGCAAGATTCACTCCCCTGGTCCCTACGCTGTTCATTTCCTTCTAGGATTTTCAGCAATGTTCGGATTAGGATCAACATACTGGTTTTTATTTAAAACAAACAGGTTTTCTTAGAAGTAAGATCTGTAGATATTGACCTGGAGAGATGTGTGTACGTATTGTTAAATGTTACAGAGTGTGATTCCACTTTTTAAAATAAGCGTACAGCCATTCTCGAGACCAGTCTGTCAGTCCCTCCTAAAACAAAACGCTCAGGTCTGGAGTGAGCCCGCATTTGCCGCCCTGCACGTTCAAGCCAGAGAAAGAACACGGCCCCTCCCCAAACCTGCGCACGAATGTTTACAGCAGCGTCATTAGAAACAGCCGGGAGCCACAGGCGGGATCGCCAGAAGCAACGCTGACGCCGAACTGTGGTGCACCCGCGCCGTGGAGTGGTGCACTGCGGTTCAAAGGGCACGCCCTTGTCCTGGCCTGTGCGTTCTCCGCTCCCCTGTGCTCGGTTGCGACAGGGGAGTGCGGCGGGACACACGGCAATCTCCCCCTCAGTTTAGGAGGGCCGTCCTGACTGTAGGACTGGCTCTCAGAGGCATGAGAGGACAATAAAAAGAAAAAACAAAGGGATACGCTCTAAACAATTGTTTAGATTCCTAAACAACTTGGCTGAGTCTCAGGGGAGGCACGCTGAAGGAAAAGAGCAGATCCCCACGGGCTATGTGCTGCGTGACTCCCTCTGAGGAACATTCCTGAAAGGACAGAACCACACAAGTGGAAACTACCTTCGTGGTTGCCATGGGTGGGGACGGGCTGGGGGCAGGGAGAGCTGTGTGGGTACAAAAGGGTGGGTGACACCAGGGGTCCTGGTGGGGTGGGACGTTCTGTATCTTCACTGTAGCCACCTTGGTGTCCGGTTGCGATACTGTAGTTTTGCAAGATGTTACCATAGTGGCGGGGGCAGGTACATGGGGTTCCTCTGTGTGGTTTCCTACAACCGTGGGCAAATGTACAATTATGTCCATGTGAAAGGTTGGATTTTCTAGAAGCATGGGTGTTGACCTCACGTACATGTACGTGTGTAGGTTGCACTCCAAGGAAGATGCACAGCCGACTGTTGACCTCTGGAAACACGTCTGCAGAGAGAGATTCTTTTTTCTTTTTCAACCTCTCACTGTTTGGCTGGTTCCAGCAAGCATGTGTGACTTGGTGACTGTGTTTAGACTCAAGGAGTAGACCAAAACTTGGGAGAGGGGGCGACAAAGAGCAAAATGTTACATTAAGCCCACCACGCCTGGAAAATGCTTGTTCTGAACCTGGGGTACAGGAGCCAGGAGGGAGGGAGGGGAGAGTGTGGCGGCCCACTCTGGCCTCCATGTGCCCCCCACCCCCACCATCCTGACCCCAGCCCGTCTTGGTGCTCTCTCCTCTCCATCACAAACACTCGTGGTCCTCTACCAATTCCCACTCACGAAAGACTGAGGACTGGCGGAGCAGAGGGCGGGTGGTTTCTGGGTCCAATAGCAGCGAACCTGCCTGGAGCCCTCGCCATGGGCCAAGCATCGTCTAGGTGCCTTTCTGAGTATTCTCTCATGCAAAATCCCTAGGAGTAAGGCGCGTGGTTGTGTCTGTCCTACAGACGAGGAGACTGAACTGGGTCACTAAGTTGTTCATGCTTAACACAGCTCTGAGAACCCAGTTGAAGTGTGAAGCACTCGAGGTGTCATCTCTGAGACCCTCCTCTGTTCCTCGCCGTCCCTAACCAAGCCCAGCCCACCCGCCAGGGGCCCCTGCGGGCCTTTGGGAAGCAGGAGGCCTGCACGCTAGTGCTCTGGAGGCAGCGGACAGCGGGACAGCTCCGGGAAGCAGCGGGAAGCCAGCTAATTGGTAAACGGTGGAAGAGCAGCATGCCCCAAGCTTCTCAGTGGATGCTGGTCTGACGCAGGCCCTGCTCCCGCACTGTGTGAGGTCAGGCCGGGCTGCCGGGGGCCAGCAGGACGCTTGGCAGCAGCTGCAGAACAAGAATTGGGCCCAGCTGGAAACCGTCCCGGCCTGGCAGTGCAGGCCATGGAGATAAGCTCCTCGCAGGAGCAGGGAGGCTGACCCCGGGGCGAGGGCTTGGAAGGCTGGGCAGGGCCTGACACCCCGTGTGCCCCTTCTCCACCGGTGCCCCCTTCTGTCCTGGGCATCCCCCATCTGCAGGGGAGCAGGGGCTGGGAGAGCTGGATGGAAGATTCAAGAAGGGAGACTGGCCAGTCCTCCTGCAACTAAACTACCCAGGGTGTCCCGCCTCCCACCCTATGAGGGTACTCCTCACAGAGGGGAGGGGAAACCAGGCAGGAGATGCCTTGGTCTCTCTGGAAGTTTCTTTCACTCCATGTTCTCTTATTTCACACCGGATGAGAGGATTGGAGTCATGTTGCCAACTGCCTGCAGTTTCGGCGTGCGCCTGGGGCGGGACTCACCATAACTGTGTTTGAGAGAGAGGGAAAGATACAGGCAGATCCGGTGGGGGCGGATTCCATCCTAATTTACCTGACTCATAGTCCCCCGCATACGGGCCTCTTCAGCCCAGACACACACGTCCTGCAAAGCTCAAGGCTCACTGAACCTCCCTCCTGCCCCCCACAAATCCGCCCAGCTCCGGCCCTAACCCTGTCTTTCCATGGCTTCCTTCTCTGCCTGGAAAGCACCCCCTCCCACTCCCCAGTGGCCAATTCTTTGTCATTTTTAAGGTGTGGCCCCACAGTCCCCTTGGGTAGGGGAGAGCACGTCCTGCTTGCCCAGGACCCCTCCTCGAGGTCTCTCTGTCCCCAAATAGTTACGGGCCGTGTGCCCTTTCACTGCCACGGGTGAAAAGCCAGACTGGGACCACGAACGACACGGTCGCCTCTAGGGCACCCTCCCACCGTGGGGTTGTTCCCTGCGTGTGTGCCTGTCCCCCACGGGGCTGGGGACGCCGTGTCCAGGGCCTGCTCAGAGCCCAGCTCACAGGCACCCCCGCGGCAACAGAGCCCAGAACGAACAGGCCAGTGAGGCCCACGCAGCTCTCACAGCGTCCCGTTCCTCTCATTCCCTCCAGGGATCTACAAGGGGCACTGCTTCCGGATCAACCATTTCCCCGAGGACAACGACTATGACCACGACAGCTCAGAGTATCTCCTGCGTGAGTGTCGAGAATCCCTTGCCCCTTGTGTGTGTGGAGGGGAAGCCGGGGGGCAGGTGGGCACTGGAGTAAAGACAGGCTCTTCGGGGGTGCAGGGGGTGCCTTTCTCCAGATGCGCTCGTCTCTCCCTTTCTGGTTCAGAGGACGGAGCTGTGTGCAGTGTTGCCATGACATTCTGGGTGTCCCGGTGCAGTTACTTGGCTGAGAGGCCCACTCCCAGGGAGACTGCGGCCTGGGGAGAGTAGATGCAGGCATGGGTATCCCCACCCCCCAGGGCTGCTGGGTGTGGCTGGCTTCAGGGGAGCAGGTGCTGCAGCTGGGCCCGTGTTCAGGTTAAAGACAGAGGCTGCCCCAGGCTCAGCATCCTGGGGAGCTGTGACCCACCCCCAACACATTCACCTGCCAGCGCTGCACCTGCCCACCCCTCCCCATGCACACTAAGCCTGTTGGGGTGCCGGGCAGCCTGTGGGAGGTGGTGAGAGCAGCTTCTGACACGTGGGCCTTAAGCGTTTTCAGCTCCGACAGGTAGAGCCACCCTGTCTGTCTCTGCCCTGCTTGTGTCCTGTGGCTGGGCCGGCCCCGGAATGGAGCACATCACAGCACATGCGGAATCCCAAGGACTAACCCAGCTCCATGCCCTGCATCCAGCCAGACCGCACCCCTGGGCCTCCCGAGGAGGAAGGAGGGAAGGAGCCCGGGGACGGAAAAGGCAGCACCACATCGAAGTCATTTTCCCCTTTTCGTCCCCCGGGGTGTGGGCCTGGTCCCATTTATGGAGAATCAGAACCCGTGTCCTCAGAGGGAGCACAGCTCATTCCGCACCTGCTCGTGGGTCAGTTTGGTTTGGTTTTATTTTTTTCTAAAAGAGGATTCGGGTTCTGAGTCATCTAGCGAAAGAGGACAGCATGTGGTCCCAGTGGAGCCTGGGGCGGCGTCAGGCTGCTCCGGCCAGGCCCAGGACCTGAAATAATTTGGCCTGGTCCCCCTCCCATCCCCCTCCCTCACCTTCTCCTCTTCCTCCCGCCTGTCCTCGCTGCTTTCCAGGGGCCAACACTGACCAAGCCAGTGATACTCCTCCACAGCGTGGCCACTGATGGTCATGCAGGTGGCCCACCGCACAGCACGTGCTGAGCCTGCGGTATAGGTAACACTCTTCGAGGTGTGCAAGGTGTGGACTGCACAACCATCTAGGGCAGCCCCTGGTACTTAGCTCCGCTGAGGGGGTGGCTCAGCTAAATTCCACCCCGACTCAGCACCTGCCCTTCTCTGCCCCACCCCGGGCAATCAGGGGGTGCCTAAGGCTCTGGGTGCAGATCTGCCTCCCGCCCCACCCTGGGACTGCAGGGAGGAGGCACCCGAGAAACAAACCGCGCCCTCACCACGTCCCACTTGAACTTGCCTGGGGTTACGGGCACTGGCGCTGGTTCTTCCTCTTCACTACCCTGTGCCTGCCCCCTCCCCTGTGGCCCCCAGAGTTCTAGGGTCTCTTTCTGGATTGGTCTCGTGACTCATCAGCCCAGAGGTCAGATCATGTGGCTTTCTGAAGTCCCAGCAGGAAGCAGAGGGCCTGCTCAGACGGGGCGAGTGAAGGGTGCTCGTGTAGGACTGTTGACAGAGGTGTGGGCAAGGCCGTGGGAAACTGGCAGGGGATGGTGAGCACTCCTGGGCCAGCAACGGAGGAGCCGGTACACTCCTGGGCCCAGGCAGGGGAGGGGGCAGGTATGGAGCAGGATGTGTGGCCTTTAGGAAGAATGCAGCCCCCTTAGGCGCAGGCTGAGGGAGAAAGCCAGGGAAAGAGCCGCCTCACCTGCGCTGGGCTCCTGAAGCCAGAGTCCAGGGCACCCCATGACTCTCTGTGGCTCCGCCTCCTGGGCCCAGAGCAGGATGGGTGGGAGGTAGAGGGGGGCAGGCCCGAGGGGCAAACCAAGAGTGTGCCCTGCAGGCGCCATCCAGCCCTGGCTCCTCACACCGCCAGCGGTGGCCCCAGGGAGAACACGGAGGGCACAGAGGGCCCAGCAGTGACTTTCCCAAATAAAAGGAGGGAACAGCACGATGGCAGTTAAAGCTCTTCGGGGACGGAAATGTTCTCCTCAAGTGTGTACTACAGAGAGAACAGCCAGGGTCAATAACCAGGCCGGGGACTCCCCAGGAAGAGAAGGGGTGACCGGTTCGGGGCCTGTGGTCTCCAGCAGCTGGAGGAACTGGGGTACAGGGCAGAGTCAATTGTCCAACAAGGAGAGTCGTTTCCACTCGAGCTGCAGAAATGGGGAGAACCGCCCTGACACTGAGCTCCAGAGCGCAGGTACCTGTGAGCTTGGAGCCGGAGGGAATAGGCAGCGTTGCAGGACAGGCCAAGGTCACGGTTGCCGCAGCCATCCAGCCTGTGTCTCTGAGGACACCCTGGTCCCCAGCATTCAGTCCTGTGGCCTTTATCCAGACTGTTGATCCCCAAAGTATGCAGAAGCACAGGAGAGAGGGCTGTGGGGCTGGCATCTGTGGGAGACACAAGTTCATGGGAACCCATGTCTCCACCTGTTCAAGTCTGGGGGCCGGCCACGTGCCAGGCACTGCTGTAGGCATGAGGGACACAGCAGCGAGCAGCCCTCCGCTTCCTGGTGCCGACGTTCCAGTGGGGAGCGGGTGTCAGAGAAGGTTGCAGGAGGTTCCACAGTGGATGCCGGTGGGAATGGCAGGCCCCCAGGCATGCTCCTCCCAGCCCACCTTTGACAGTTCGAGAACCAAGTCAGCCCCCAGCCGTGCACTCTGAAGGCTTCCGGAGAAACTGGGCTCCGTTGACTGAGGTCGCCGTCACAGGGCTTGCTGCCAGCTCCCTGCCAGGCGCTGGCAGTGCCTCTGCTGGCCCACAGGCAGCTGTGGGGCTGGGAGATCACGTTTCCACCTGCCCTGCTGGCCCCAGGGGCTCCCGAGCATCTTGCCCCGGGCCTGGCGCCCCTTTTCCGGGTTCCACATTTCCAGGCAGGGGGATGACGTCAGTGCTAAGCCTCCGAGTGCTGATGTCAGGGCTGCTGGGTGTGTCTGATGGCGAATCAGAAGGAAGTGTGCCAGGGCCTGATGTGGCCACAGCACACGGCTGGACATCAGCCTCGCTCGGCCCCCAGCCTGGGGCAATCCCAGCCTGCCCCACAGTGCACAGCGACCCTGGCTGGCATCCACACAGCCAGAGCTCTGGAGTGAGGTCATGGGGCAAAGGACAGGTGCTCACATGACTTACCTGGGCAGGACGGATGGCTCTGAGCCTGGCCTGACCTCAGCGACCCAAGGCACCAGGCTGCCTTCTCTCCACCCCTCTGGGCCGTCGCAGGATGCCAGCGGCCTCCAGGGAGCCCAGCTCAGATGCACGTTTCAGATGCCCCAGGAAACCTCCTCCCAGAGCCCACGGCTGTGGGAAAAAACAGGGAGGAAGAGGTGGCAGTGGGAGAAGAGCTTCATTTAAGGCCCCGAACAAACAGCTCTCTGTGAGGCAGGGCGCACACTGCAGGGCTCACAGGAGAGGAGACAAACGCTGTCTTCAGAGGCCCAGACGCCGCACACTGGCTCAGCTGGCTCAGGAGGTGGGCGCCTGCCAGCGCTCCCCGACTCCCTGTCCCCCGCCGCCAGGGCCACCAAGGGTCCCCGGAGTGAGAGTTTTACTGGGCTGGGAGGCATGCAGGCGTGTCGGGAAGGCTGAGCCCGGGGCTCCCCTTCGCGCCCCCCTCCCCTCCTCCTGCCCTTCCAGCCAGATGCTAAGGAAGAGGGACCCGCATCCCCAAGCCCCTACTAAGTGCTTTATGAACCTCATTTCATCAGATTCTCTCAAAAGCCCTCCCAGGCAGGTATCCTTCTTCTAGAGCTGCCGTGACAAATCACAGAACAGCAGGACCTCACCCTCTCACAGTGGGGAGGCTGGGGGCCTCCCATCAGCACACACTCCCTCCAAGGCTCACCCGTGGGGACTCTTTCCTGCAGCTCCCGGCTTCCGGGGGCTCCCAGCCCTCCCTGACCTCCCTGACCTGGGGCTGCACCCCTCCTTTCTCAGCCTCCATCTTCCCACGGCCTCTCTCCTGTGTGTCTCCTCTTCTGCTGGGTCTTCTCTTCCTATCAGAGCGGTTGGCATTGGATTTAGGATGCCAAGTCTAGGATGGAGGCATCTCGAGATCCTGAATATAGTCACATCAGCAAAGACCTTTTTTCCAGATAAGCTCCCGTTCATAGGTACCTGTGGCTAGGACTTGGACATATCTTTTGGGGGCCACAATTCACCCCCTTACACATGGGTACTACTGCTCTCCATAGGCATAAAAGAGGTGAGAGGGCAGAGCAAGGGAGCAAATCTCTCTCTGTTGGACACCCCAGTCCACATGTGTCTCTCTGTCCAGCTGCCTCGTCCTCTGTGACCCCAGGAGGTCCTGAGCTTTCTTCATGTCCTTGTCTGTCTCTGAGGGTGATGACAATGATAATGACAACAGAGATAAAGGCTGTTACTTTGGAAGTCCATGCCATGGCCAGGCCTGGTGCTAAGTCCCTCATTCGTATGAAGCCAGCCCTAGGCTGCAGCTACTATTAGGCACCGAGTTCCACAAACGAAGAAACGCAGTGTTTGAGAGGCAGAGCGATGTGTCCAAGGCCACACAGCCAGCACCAGCATGTCATAGAGCGCAGCCAGTTCCCCAACCCACACAGTGCCAGGCCATGTCCTCCTCAGCCACCCCTCCGAGTCCCTTCGTGAGGACACCTCTTGCCAGCCTTTGGAGGCTTCACAGAGACAACGTCCCTGAGAGGGCTCAGCGGGCTGGGAGGTGCCGTGCGAAGGGGAGGCGGTCCAAAGTTTTCACGGCTGCCGTTGTGGCCTCCCTGCTGCCACTGAGGGGCTGTCCTCCCTGCTGGCTGGTAGAAAAGTGACTCACACCTAGGGAAAGCCTAGGCGAGATGTGGGCGGGCATGACTTCAGCCCCTTGGTGTACCCAGCAAGGCGGGGCCGCCACTCACATCTAGTCTAGCTGCCCCCATCCCGCCCAGCTCCCAACACCCCACGGTCTCTAGGGCCTAATGAGAGCAGTCACAGTCCAGGGGCCGGGCCTTGGTATTCAGGGCCCCTGCCCGGCACCATGGCCATAGCTGGCACCGTGGCCAGGAGCTGGCGGCCGGTCTCACAGCCCTCTCTGCTCTGTCTCCCACCCGGCTCAGGCATCGTGCGCGCCTCCAGCGTCTTCCCCATCCTCAGCACCATCCTGCTGCTGCTCGGTGGGCTCTGCATCGCTGCTGGGCGGTTCTATAGCCGCAAGAACAACATCGTCCTCAGTGCCGGCATCCTCTTCGTGGCTGCAGGTGAGCCGCCTGCTCTGGTCCCCACGGTCTCTATGTGGGACTCACTTCCAAAGCCCAGGTGTGGGCGCTGAGCAAGGCGTGGGGAGCACACTGCTCAACGGGGCCACCTTTTGGGTTACAAAATGTTCTGGAACAAGACAGGGGTGGTGGCTGCACGACAGTGTGAGTGTGCTACGTGCCACTTACCTGCACACTTCACAGGGTTAATTCTATGTGAACGTAACCTCAATCAGAAATAATGAAGTCCGGGCATGCAAAGTGCCACAAACGGGCAGCACTTGGCCTCACAAGCCTGTAAGAGGGGTGCCTGGTTAAGTTGGGCAGTCAGAGAGGTACCCGAAGGGACTCACAGACACCAAGACCTGAAGGAGTTGGCCAGGTAGCGACAGGGTGAAAGGGACAGGGCTGGCCAGGGCACAGAAGATGCAGAGAAGCCCAGCATGCCTGGGGCAGGGTGAGCAAGGGGCTTGGAGAGAACTGTGGTGTGTGTATGTGAGAACTGTTGTGTATGTGTGTGTGAGAACTGTGGTGTGTGTGAGAACTGTGGGGTGTGTGTGTGTGTGTATGTGGACTGTGGTGTGTGTGAGGACTATGGTGTGTGTGAGAACTGTGGGGGGGTGTGAGAACTGTGGTGTGTGTGTGTGTGAGAGAGAAAGAGAGCTGTGGTGTGTATGTACATGTAAGAACTGTGTTGTGTGTATTTGTGAGGACTGGTGTGTGTGTGTGAGAACTGTGGTGTGCATGTATGTGTGAGAACTGTGGAGTGTGTGTGTGTGTGTGTGTAGACTGTGGTGTATGTGTGTGAGAGAGAGAGAGAACTGTGGTGTGTATGTATATGTAAGAACTGTGGTGTGTGTGTGTGAGAACTGTGATGTACATGTGTCTTAGAACTGTGTGAGTGTGTGTGTGTGTCAGTGAGTGTTGGGACGGAGAGCCTGCATTTAGGGTTACAACCCACAACTGGCTTGCTCAGGGCAGGGTCTCGGGCCCCCTTAGCAAGAAGTGTTCCCGCCCCACCACACGGGGGTCAGGCGGCAGGAAAATGGACAACAGGACAGAACACTGAAGGTCCTCACAGACCCAGACGCACTCGCCATAGGCGCTGCGTGTATGAGCCCCCTGAGCCCTCACGCCCACCCTGCGAAGCGCCCACCTCGGTGTTCCTATTTGTGCAAAAGGACACGAGTGCACGGGGAGGTGAGTAACTTGCCTAAAGTCTCACAGCTGAGAGTTGGTGGAAGACAGACTCAAGCCCAGGAGTCTTGGCTCGGCTGGCCCGCACTCACAATAGGAGAAAACCACTTAAACACAGCGATCGTGCCTGTACTTCCCCTCCCTGGTTGGCAGAATTCCAGACACTTGAGAACTCTGCTAAGACCGTCGGTGCCCCTGGGGAGGGCACTGGGGTGGTGACTCCGAATCCACAACATGAAATGCCGCAGGGTGCCCCGGGTGACGCTGGCCCAGAGACGGGACATTCGAGAGACTCCGGGAACTCCGAGCGCAGCCTGCAGAGTAGTGGGCAGCAGTGGACCGGGCGGGCGTTCCGACTGTGACCCGAGTGCGTGGTGCGGGAAGACGTTGACGGGGAACCGGGTGGGAGTCAGGCAGGAGTTCTCTGTGCTCTCTTCCCAACTTTTGAATAAATCTCACAGGATCCCAAAATAAAGCTTATTTCTAAGCATCTAAATGCACACACCCAGCGAGGCGGGGGGCCCTCTGCCAGGAACGCACCCCACAGTGTGCTCCTGCACGTGTGCAATAGTGCACACACAAGGCGTCCCTGGCACCCTGGTCGTAGCAGGTCGGGAAGTCACTGGACACCCACAGCAGAGGCCTGGCGGGGTGCCCGGGGGCAGGTGCCGTGGGCGCAGGTAGACAGAGGCAGTGCGGATGTCCCTGCACGGAACTGCCTCTCAGACAGGCTGCAGTGGAAGGGCACAGGCCAGAGAGTGTGTGCAGGGGAAAAAATAGATCTGTGGGTGTGTGTCTGTGTGGGTGTGCATGTGTGTGTGAGAGAGAGAGAGAGAAAGAGAATGAGACTGGATGTAAGAACAAAGTAAGAAGGACAGCCCTGGACCAGTGGTTGGAGCTGGCCTCGCACACCGAAAGGTTGGGGTTCAATCCCAGGTCAGGGCCCGTACGGGAGGCAACCAGTCGATGTTGCTCTCTCACACACCTCTCTCCTTTTCTTTCTCTCTAAAATCAGTAAACATATCCTCAAGAGAGGATTACAAGAAAAATAAATTTAAAAAATAGAAATAAAAAAAGAAAGACAGTAACAGCAGCCACCTTCAGAAGGAGAACTGGGTGGCCAAGAGCCCGTGTTTTATCGTATATCTCAGGGGAATTTTGTACTGCGTCACCCACTCAAAATCCAGTGCTGAAAAGACAAGTCAGCAACCAGAATAAGGCCACGCCCATCCGAGCCCCCAGCCCCCGCTCCGCCCCCTGTGCCCTGTGGGTCTAACCTCTGCCTCTCCCCGCCCGCCCCCTCCTCCTCCCCCTTCAGGCCTCAGCAACATCATAGGCATCATCGTCTACATTTCCAGCAACACGGGCGACCCAAGTGACAAGCGCGACGAAGACAAAAAGAACCACTACAACTACGGCTGGTCTTTCTACTTCGGAGCCCTGTCGTTCATCGTGGCCGAGACCGTGGGCGTCCTGGCCGTGAACATTTACATTGAGAAGAATAAAGAGCTGAGATTTAAGACCAAACGGGAGTTCCTCAAGGCTCCCTCCTCGTCCCCCTATGCGAGGATGCCCAGCTACAGGTACCGGCGACGGCGCTCCAGGTCCAGCTCCAGGTCCACCGAGGCCTCGCCCTCCAGGGACGCGTCACCGGTGGGCCTGAAGATCACGGGGGCCATCCCCATGGGCGAGCTGTCCATGTACACGCTGTCCCGGGAGCCCCTCAAGGTGACCACGGCGGCCAGCTACAGCCCCAGCCAGGAGGCCAGCTTCCTGCAGGTGCATGACTTCTTCCAGCAGGACCTGAAGGAAGGCTTGCACGTCAGCATGCTGAACCGGCGGACAACCCCTGTGTGAGCGCCCCTCTCTCAGCGCCAGCCTCTCCCCCGAATGGCTGTGTGGACCCCACGCGAGGGCACCGAACCCTCCAGGTGGACCAGCCGGCCACGGACCGCAACCAAACCCAACCCTCCCCGGTCTCTAGCTGTGTCGTGGGCTGGCTTGGAGCGAAGCGCCAGGAGACTGGAGTCAGAAACGGAAGGCTGACTTCACCCCCAAACAGGGTGTTCTGATGCCTGGGCTCTGAAACCCCCCAGGAGGCCGCCCAGCCTTCACGAACCCGAGAAAACAACATCGAGCCATTCTCTCCTCTCGGAAACAAGTATTTCCAGGAGAACCGGCTTCCGGGGCCTTCTCTCCCTGCCTGGGCACTGGGCCACTGAGCGGCCACTGGCTGGGCACACGGGGGCCTCAGGACACTGGTCAGCCACTTTCTGACCTGAGGTTTCTGTGCCCGGGAGCCAGACACGTGGAAGCTAAAGCTTGCCCCGTCCTTCTTGTCTATCCGTCCGTCTGTCTCTCTGTCTGTCTCTCTGGCAGTGGCCTGTCGTTGCAGCGATCCTGAGGAGGGAGCCCTGAAGCCAGCTGGTGCTTTGGGTTTTGCGCTGTCCCGGGGCCGGCTCCCCTCCAACCCGGGAGACGGAGGCCTGTGGAGGAATCCACAGAGCAGGAGGCTTTCACTGGCCCGGACATGAGGTCAAAGCCGGAGTCTGCTGCTGCTGCTGCCTTTCCCATCTGCTTCTGGAAGTTTCCGCCTCACCTGGAAAGGGCAGAACACACTGACTGTACTTGAGAGTCTGAAGGTTCCACTGGCCAGAGGAAAGTGGCCCTCTGACCTCTTGCTGTGTCCCACCCCACTGGCCTGAGGGCTGCTCGTGGGGGAGAGCACAGGACAGACGTGGCACACACACTGGTGTTTGGCGACAGGAGCCTGAACGCCTGGGCAGACCCGAGGGGGAAGCGTGACCAAAAACCCAGAGAACAAACGTCCATGTCCGTTTGGTGGTCATTAGTCATGATTCACTGCAAATAAACACCAGGACAGCAGGTTACATTCATTTCCTCATCTTAAGAAGTAGCTGGACACTGCCCCCCGCCCCTCTCGTCGCCACTCACTCTGCCACCCCTGAAAGGGCTCAGCGAGGAAGCGGGCGCAGGGCCACGCTGCGACCTTCTTCCCCCTCACCAGACCGACGGCTCAGCGCCTGGGACCAAGGAGGCCGCTTCCCTGTTGCAAGTTTTTCCAAGTATTTCCCCTCCCCTCCCCCAAAGTCAGCAGAGAACATGGAAGCATGTTCAGGTTCAGAAGAAATACTTTATGGGACATGGAGCTCACCCTCTTTTATACAAAACGCGTGCTTTCTAACAACGTACCCTTTCTTACTTCTGGAGACTTGGGAATCCGATCCGGAGCTGTCCTCTCTGACTCTGTCCGGTAGCTGTTGTCCTTGGAAGTGACGAGCAAATTCTTACCTCAGCCACTTGCTCACGGACCCCCTGAAAGTTCAGATCCGGGTCAAGGTCATTGCCATCTTCCTTTGGCCCCTAGAGAGCGAATCTCCACGTGCCCCACCTCCCGCCTCCGGTGGGCAGCCCTGCGTGCTGGTGAGCTGAGGTGCCCAGTGCCAGGCTGTGTCGTGCTCCCTTGGAGCCCTCGTCCCGCAAGGTGGGCTCTGGGCGGAGGTTTGTCCAAGCACGAGCAGCGGTGAGTGCTGGAGCGTCAGGGCGCATGGCTGCACCCGGGGTGGGCCAGCCCCGCTGTCCTGCCCCCACCCCTGGTCGCCCTCGCCCCTCCACGCCAAGACACCATCATTCCGGCTAGGAGGAAGGGGGTGAAATCTGGGGACCCCTCCCCCTGCCAGGCCCCAAGAGTCTTCTTCTGTCACTTCCAAACACAAGGCAGCTTTGCTGTTTCTTCCACATGAGTCCCCACCCCACCCTCCATCCCCACTGCCCCGGGAGCTGCTGTCTTTTCATGGAGAAAGCTGTGTTCCAACGATTCCTACCTCTTGCCCAGTCCCAGGCGAGAAGATGGAGCCCCCTCCAGGGACCGAGAGAGTAGAAAGAAGCGACAAAGGGCAGGGAGCAGAGCAGCCTCGGACCCCTGGCTGTCACAGCCTTTCTCCACACGCCCTGCCCCGGCTGCGGGAGGGCCCCTCGGCTCTGGCCCCTGTTCTCCTTCTCCCTGCGTCTTGTCTCAGCCGGCCGCCTGGGCAGGGGAGCGGCGGGGCGGCCCTGCCCCCTGCAGGCTGAGACCTCCCCCCTGCAGGCTGAAACCTCCCCGGGGGCCGATGGGGTAGCCTGTGCTGTCTCTGCCTACCCTCTCCAACCACCCCTGTGTGTTTCACCGATTAAGCACCTGTGAATCCTGTACCTACTACTGGTTTGGGGTGGTTCTGTCTTTTTTTTTTAATTAAATAAAAAGATTTTTAAAATGTTCTCTTCCTGATGTGGGGGGAAGGGTAGAGCTCCCCTCAAGCCTTTGTGGGCACTTAGGGTCAACGGTGTTCCTCAGTCTGCGGGATGCTGTGGACCCCCCAGGAAAAGAGGGATGGGGGGTAGGGTCTGTGCTGGTCAAGGCCAGCTGCCCGGGCTTCCATCTGCATCGCCAGCCCCCTGCCCGGCACCGCCGGCCGGGTTCAGACTTCGGGGCAGTGCTGCTGAGGTGCCGTTCACTGACGGGCCAGAGGAGGGACGGACGAAGTTTGGGCGTCTGAACAAGCTGGCCTCAGAACCGCCGGCCCAGTGGTTCTCAAGCGGGGGCAGTTTTGCTCCCCAGGGGACAGTTGCCAATGTCTGGAGACCTGTTTGGTTGTCACAGCCTGGAAGGCGGTGCTATTGGCATCTTGTGAGTAGGAGACAAGGGTGCTGCTAAACACCCTACAGCACACAGAAGAGCCCCACCCCCACCCACCAAGGATGATCCGGTCAGAAATGTCAGGCCAGGAAACCACACTGGCCTGATTTTACAGGGAGGGAAACTGAGGCACAGAAGGGTGAGGTCACTTTTGCGGCACCCCCTGCCCCCTGTCGGAGGCTTTTAGGCATTTGCCTCTAGACCGTGGACATACAGAGAAGCCTCGTTTATTCTCAGCACGTCCTTCTCTGCAGCACGCTTTATCTCCTGCCCCTTTTGAGGCAACGATTTTGGAAACAGAAGCTGGGGGTGGAAGGAGGAAAGGGGACGCCGGCCCCCTGTGCCGGGTTGGGGGCCAGGGCAGGAGAGCGAGTCCAGAAACGTGGCCCCACGTGACACAGGGACTCGCCTCTCTGTGGCGTCCCCCCTCCCCTCCCGCCCCACTCACACCCGGGCGGCTGCCTTGAGTAGGCAGCAACGTTGCTGAGAGCCAGAAAGATGGGGTCACATCCTCCGGTCGGCACCGGGCATCTTGCAGGCGGCACTGGGCAAGTGGCTCAGCCTCTCTCGGAGCCCTCAGCCCAACAAGGAAGGTAACACTCCCCTCTCAAGGCTGTTGGGAGATGGACTGAACTTCAACTTCAACAAGGAAATGCTCGGAAATGCCCCAGCCAGGAGACTGGCTTTAGAGTGAGCTTCCAGGAGTGTTTGTTGACTAGCACACTCCAGGAGTTTGCCACAGTGGACTGTTCTAGAACGGCCCCTGGAGGGGTGGTCTGAGAGCCAGGCCCCAGGGTGTCATGCCCGCAGCACTTGGTCTGGCAGAAATCTGCCACCCAGCCGATCCAGGGACTCCACGGTGCTCCCACGTCCCTGCAGAGGACTCCTCCCAGGCTGCTTCCCTGGCCGGTGCCCATTCACTTCTGCCCTCAGTGGTCAGGCCGCTGCATGGCTGCAGCTTTCCTTGCAGGCCCTGCCACCCCCAGACTCCACTGGGGCGCTGCTGGTTCCACACCGGTGATGCCAGCGGTGAAAGTCCAGGCCTGACCCCTCTCAGGTGCCCTGGGAGCAGGGCTGCAGGGCAGGTGGTCCTGTTCTGGGCCCCTGGGGTGGGGCTGGCAAAGGGTGGGGGAGGATAAGGATGGGAGGGGGCGGGGAGGCCCCCCTGCGGAGAGCTCAGAACCAGCCACTTGACTTCAGCTCCTGCACTGCTTCCTAACACAGCACCCCTGACCGCCCAGCCCTAGAGACGAGGGGCAGGGGGGAGGGGGGGTTCAGAAGGGAGGAAGAGGCGCCCAGGGGCCCTAGAACCCAGAGCAGGAGATGGGGCAGATGCACCGGAGAAAATGTTTTAAAACCTGCAGCTTCCAACAAAACCGGCCGCGCAACCTCAGTTTCGGAAGTCTGTGATCACAGAGGGCAAGCACACGTCTGTGCTTCAGTCGCAGGAGAGGGGCTTGGAGGGACCCACACCCCGACCTTTGTCCCCTGACAAGTTTTCTCAGAGATACAGTAACCCTTGCAGGGTCACGAGGATCCACAAGTTAAACTAGAAATAGCCAGGTCCTTTTTAAAACAAATGATACTTATGTTTTTCTAATTCCAAAAAGTATTGTGTTTGACCTGGAAAATACAGAAAAGTTCAAGAAAACAGCAACAGCCAGACTCCCAGGACCCGAGATGTAGGCAGGGCTCACACCTCAGCGCACCCAGGGCGTGCAGGGTAGGGCCCGGCCCCTGCGTTCATTCCGCTTTGCACCGTGAGGATCTCCCCACATCCACACGTGTTCCTCAAAACCATGGTCTTTCGAGGCTGCAGAGCCTTCACCACTTACCTACCCGGTGCCCTGTTGTGGGTGCGGCTTATTTGCTCCCTAGACGGTAAATGGTGCCTAAACTGCAACAAAGATAGTCAGGGTGCATTTGGTTAAGATCTAACATCGTCTCACTGTGAGCTTTTGGCCAGCTCTGTCGCAGAGGCTGACGCAGAGGTCAGGCTCCTTGTCCACCTCCACACGCAGTCTGGATCTTGTCTACGTACACGCCTGGGTGCCTGGGTGCCTGGGCCCCGGGATAACAGCCCCCCTCCCCAACTCCCTGCCCCGTTCCTCCTGGAAGACTGGGGCTGCCTCGTTGCACCAGGCCTTCCATTTAGCAATTTGCAGCCACACGAAATGTAACTCCTTTTTGTCACTGACTGTAGCCGTTCATAGGGCTGCGTAACAAATACACCAGAACTTGTCAGCAGTGAACAGTCATTAAATACATGGTCGCAGATTCTTATCTCCACTGGACAGGGTCAGGAAGGCCCATCTCTCGGCCCCACAGTGTCTGGGGCCTCGGCTGGAAATCTCGGTGGCCTGGGACTGGAATCTCCTGGACGCTCATGTGCTCACACGTCTGGCGGCTGATGCTGGCTCTGGGCAAAGGCCTTGGCTGCAGTTCTCGGCCTGAATGTCCACACGTGGCTTCTCTGTGTGGCCTGAGGCCCCTCACGGCATGGTGGCCGGTCCGACCAAGGTTGAGTGTCCCAGAGCAAGAGACAAAGGTGGCAGTCTCAGAAGTCACTCAGAGTCACTTCCGCTGGGCCTCAAGGGTTAGAACTCTCAAAGCCTGCTTGAGTTCAAGGAGAGAGGAAGTGGGCGCCACCTGTTGATGGGGAGTGAGGAGGTTCTGGAAGAACATGTGGGAGTAGAAATATTGCTGTGGCTGTTTTTGGAAGACGGTCTCCGGGACCCTCACCTGGTTCTAGGCCTCTTCCTTCCACCTGCCACCTCCACGGGGCCCTCTGGAACTCCCTGCATCTAGAAATCTTACGGAGGTCCCCCTCTGCCAGCTGAGATAGATAAAACCATTCCCTCTCTCCCAGGGATACTCCTTTCCTCAGTCCTGCTGGTGAGAGCTGCCCGCTCTGCTGCTGGGGTTCCCTGCCCAGGTCCCCAGTTTAACCCTGCTGGCTGCCCAGCCCCATCCTCAGTCCCAGGAGGTGGAGCTGCAAAGGGAAAGAGGATCTGAGGGACCTTAGGATCCAGAGGAAGACGGGGGCAGGTACACCTGATATAGATATTTTTAAACTTGCAGCTTCCAACAAAACGGCTGGTGCAACCTTGGGAACAGAAGTCTGTGGTCGGAGAAGGTTATGAACTCATGTCCTTGGACTTGCAATTGTAGGACAGGGGTGGTGGGGGTGCTGAGACCTCCAAACCACTATTCCTCCACCCCCTCCCTGGGGAAAAGCCTTTGAGGGGGGCCTGGAAAGACCATCCTGAGCCCTCTCTCATCACTGTCATCACCCCAACTCCCCGGCCACTCCTTCACGTTCACTGGAGACTTCACCGCTGGTTCAGAGTCTTCCTCTGTACCCCAAGTTCTGCCACCATTAAACTGAGCTGCACCAACATCTGAGGGGCCAGCCACTCCAACTCCCTGCCTCACAGTTCTGCCTCCTCACCTCCACTGACTGTCTGAGCTCACCTCCACTGGCCACCTGGCCTTCTCACCTCCGCTGGCCTTCATCTCCTACCTGGATCTTGTCCTCACCCCGACAGTCCTCCCTGTAATCTTCAGGCCCATTGTCCTTCTCCCTGACCACATTTTCCAGTCTTCCCAGTTCCTTCACCCCCCAACCACCACTACACCTGTTCCCCAACCTCAACAAGCCCTTCAGGGCCTTGACCTCCCCATTTTCTCCCACTATACTGACCCTTCCTGGTTGCAGGACCATCCTAAAGAGCCCAGACATGCCTACCACAGGCTAAACTGATAAACGTATTATCTCGCATTCTGCAGCAGCTCCCAGTCAGTGGAAGGGCAGCTTAGAGAGGCTAAGGACTGGCCGGAAGCCACGCAGCTGGAGACCAGTGGAGCAGGGATCGGATCCTGGGGCTGCCGGCTCCCTCACTGGCAGGTTGGTTCCCACTCCCTGAGAAGCCGACCTTCCAGAAAAGGGTGGGACCCGTGTGGAGGATGCTGATGGGGGTGGGGAGGGCAGGGGTGCAGCTCCCAGCAAATGCTGCTGAGCAGGCAGCCTGGCGGCGGCCTCCAAGAACAGAAACGTTCTGTTTAAAGGAGCTTTTAGTGAACGGGGAAGAGACAGTGGACTTTGCCTGCAGCCTCGTGGTAGACTCACACACAGAGGACTTCAAAAGGAAGATGCCATCAATCTTTAATGCTTCTGCTGGCTGGGCTGGAGGACTCAGGACCCCCGCATGCGGCACGGACCTGCCCTTCACTGAGGGGAGGCGCGGCCTGGCCCTTGGTGGCGGCAGTGTGATTGCTAGGTCTGATGCTAAGGGGCCGCACTTAGGGCATTTTCCACGACCCGCAGAGGCCCTGTGCTGAAGAGCTTCAGAGGCCCACCCCCGCCACCCCAGGAAACCCAACACACTTTTTATTTCTCCAAATGGTACCATATCTATCTGCAGTACTAAAGTTAAAATAGCCTCTTACTAGATATTCTGTTTTAAAGCACCAGAACCTTCTTCTTGTTCCCCAACTGCTGCTTTGCTGATGTGCCTGGCACGTAGTAGGTCTGCCTCAGGCCACGCAGTGTCTCTCCTGGAACCCCAGTTGCCTGGCCCCTGAAGCTGGGCCCCCGGGAGCGATGTGGAGGGGCTGAGGCTCCCAGGATTCTCATCTTGTAGTTGTTCTCTGCAGAAAAGGGGAGCCACCTGCGTGGAGGCAGTCCCTGAGCGACAGCAGGGTGGTGACAGGCGTCAGCAAGCCGCGATGGGTGAGCCCCCACTGGGAACACAGAGTGGGGGTGCAGGGAGGGAGGGGAGCAGAGATAGGGACGACTGAGAGAGAACCATCTGCAGAGCACAGTCTGGGTGGGGCCGCTGGTTTATAACCTAAAAGCGCAGCTCTAACCACCTCGGATGTACCCACCCCCCCGCCCCCACCTGGGGCTGAAGGCTCGGGGTCTCGGTTCAGCTCCAGGGCCTGTCACACCCTCTTTCTGCTTGTTCACCAGGGGCTCCCAGCTTGTCCCCAGGCTGCAGGTTCCTTTTATCCATCATGTCGGAGTTCAGAACACACCACACCAGAAAGTGGCAACGTGGCGTTGTGAATATTTTAAACGGAAGGCATCTGAGAACATTTAAGTGCAGGAAGGACTTTCTGACCTTCCCCTGAAGCAGGTCATGAGACCCTGGTGTGAGAGGTGCCCTGAGAGACCTTCTCGCCTCCTGTGCCCCACACCCCACACCCCACACCCCATTACTGCACGTAACCCAGACCCTCTTTTTATCCCACCCTACTTTTCCACGACTTCCCACTCTTCTCATACCCGGCATTAAAACGCTCAGATCTAACTGTTTCTTTCAGTCATCTCCTGCGCCAAGGCCTCCCTGTCATGTAAAATTTATATGAAATAAATGGGTGGTTTTCTCTTGTTAATCTATCTTTTGTTACAGGGGCCTGAGCTGAGGACTTCAGCACATGGAAGAAAAATACATGTATGTTTTTCCCTATAATCACAATAGTTTCCTCCCAGCTCCAAGCATCAGTTAAGAGTTTGGCTCCAGGTTCTAAAACGTGGGGGTTCTGTGGGACCCTGGACATGACACCTCGTGTCTCTGAGCCTCCACATCCTTATCTGTAAAGGGAGAGTAATGGCTGTGCTCACCTCAAGGATCAGTGTGAAGAGTAACTACAGTGATGTCGAAAGGCTTAGCAGAGCGTCTGGTACGTGGTAAGCACTCACTGAAGATGAGCTCTCGTTACGATTACCACTATTACTCATGGTCTGGGACTCCAGGGCTGGACCCCGAGTGCGTCTCCGCACACAGGCGATCCTTCCACGAGCTGGGTCAACCCGAGGCCAGGATTTTGAAGCTCCAAGCCCCACCCAGCTCAGGGGTCTATTTCTGGCCATGCATCAGCCTAGAGACACCTGGTGAGCTGAGCAAGAAAAGACAGAGGCCAGGAGGTGCGTCAGGGCCTGGAGACCGACCCATGGCCGGGGGGGAGGTGGGGGGGCTGCGGGCCAGTAGGCCTCTTGGAAGACCAAACTTTCACATGTCCTCTGCCAATCCACATACCCGTTAGCCTCTTAATGGCACCTGTAGATCCACTTACTTCTACAGTTACTTTGTAAATAAATAAATAACTGGAAAATATTGCCTGTCATTAATACAGGTAAAATGAAAACAGAATTACAGTCAGGTCCAACCGGATGCTCTGTCCTCTCCGAGCTATTTTTTGATTTGAGAGTGTCAGAAAGCCACTTTACCCCCAAATGGAGCTATTCTTCTGGACCAAGTTGGAGGGATGGGAGAATTGAATCAAAAATAACATTCTCGCCCTGGTCAGTGTGGCTCAGTTGGAGCATTGTCCTATAAACCAAAACGTCGCGGGTTCGATTCCTGGTCAGGGCACATGCCTAGGTTGCAGGTTTGAGGTGTGCTACAGCCAACCAATCAATGTTTCTCTCTGACATCAATGTTTTTATCTCTTCCTCCCTTGTTATCTCTCTAAAAGCACATCCTCAGGTGAGGATTTAAAAAAAGAAAGAGAGAGAAAGGTGTTCTGGCTGGTGTGGCTCAGTGGACTGAGTGCTGACCTATGAACTGAAGGGTCACCAGTTCGATTCCCAGTCAGGGCACATGCCTGGGTTGCAGGTCAGGTCCCCAGTGGGGAGTGTGAGAGGCAACCACACATTGATGTTTCCCTCCCTCTCCTTCTGTCTTCCTCCCCCTCTCTCTAAAAATAAACATCTTTTTTAAAAAGAGAGAAAGAAAATAACATTCTCACACTGGATAGTGTCAGGTCACAGAAGGTCTAGGAACCGTCTGAAATGCCCCTGTCCTTTGGGGGATGTCACAGGGCTTGGGGCTGCAGCTCCTGCCTGGGCAGTGGGCTCCAGAGGCCCTGGGCAGGGAATCGCAAGATGCCCCTAGGCCCCTGATCCTGGGTTCCCCAGACTTCTAGGACAAGGACCCACTCACCCCACCTGGTGACCGACCTGCCCAGTGGGAGAACAGAAGGCAGAGCCACCTGAGTCCCCAGGGCCTGCTGCCCTTGCCCAGCAGTGACTTCCAGCCCACACGCAGAGTGTCCCTCACCCACGCCCCACCCAGGTATCCTGAGCAGCCGCAGCCCCTCGGGCCAGGTTTCCAGCCACCGTCTGAAGCCCTCTCCCCGCGCCCCACCCGCGGGTGTTTCTGGCTCCGAGAGGGGAAGACGGCCCTGCAACCCGAGAAGAAGTCATCCTCGGCGACGGCGGCACGCCTGTGCCTGTGCATTAATAGAAGCCTCCCTCAGGCCCTGTCACATGTGGGCAGCTGCTCAGCCCTGCCCAGCGGCCCTCGGCCCCAAGGCCGGCCCACTCTGGCTCGGCCCAACACACTAAACTTAGCTCCCTCCCTCCGAGCCACAATCGCTGTCACCACCCCGGCCCGGCTGCCACCTGCCTGAGGAGCCACTGCCGCCGGACCCTGCCCAGAGCGCCTCCTCCTCGGGACCACCATGGCCCAGATCAAAACACTGAAGGTCCGCGTGACCCTCTTCTGCATCTTGGTGGGCATCGTGCTGGCCACAGTGGCCGTGGTGACCGACCACTGGGCTGTGCTGAGCCCCCATGTGGAGCACCACAGCGCCACATGCGAGGCGGCCCACTTTGGCCTCTGGCGGATTTGCACCAAGAGCATCGTCATGAGTGACAGCGAGGACAAGAGCTGTGGACCCATCAGCCTGCCTGGGGGTAACGTACCCACTCTGCCCCCATCCCTGCTTCCTGCCCATCCTTGTCCCCACCCTGGAAAAGAGGCTCAGAAGAGCCCTCTGTGACCTGGGTAGGGGGTCTGAACTATATGGGGCCGTGCTGGGGGCCATGGCCGGTTATAAACTGTAGGGCATTTCTCTCTCACTCTTTCTGTCTTCCAAGGCTTGGGGCCTTTCACTCAGAGCAGGGGGCTGGACATCTGGGACAAGAGGCTAAGGAAAGACACCATGGACCTGCCAGATGAGGAGCTTCGGGCCCCAGTAGCCGTCACTCTTCTGGGTGTGCCCAGCTGCAGCCTCTCCCTACAAGGACAGGCTGGTGGCCCTATGTCCACAGGCCGAAGGGACCTGGGGGACTGGCAGACTCCTTCCCCAGCCTCCAGAGTGTACAAGGGCTCAGCCACAGAACTTACAGGGCCCCGTGCAAAGGAAAGGCTAACAATGGCAAGGCTCCTTGCCATCGTTTCGGAATTTCAGGGTGGTAGCAACAGCGTAGGAAACCAAGCGTGGCTCCCTCCTGCGTGCAGGGCCTTGAGTGACCGCCCGGGGCTGAGCACTGGTCTGTGAAGCGGACCCAGTTGTCGAGGAGCCGCCTGCCTCTTCGGAGAACCGTCAGTCCTCGTGCTAGTCCCTTAGCACAGACCCCTGCAGAGTTGAGAAGCATTTCCTTCCACCGTGATTTGAGCACATTACCCAATTTCCTGCCATGTGAGCCGACCACACTCTGAAGGCAAGCTCCTTTACAGAATACCTGGTGTTAGGATGGTTAGTCTCCTCTGCAAAGGTGCGTGCGGCCCTCCACACTTACAGCAAAGAGAGTGGCGTGTACTCGGGAAAGACCGCGGCCTGGAGAGTCAGAGGCCGGGCTCCACCCATGCGTTGCCCACGCCCCGCCCTAAACGACTGAGCTTCCTCCCGAGGTGCTTGGGCTTGGCAACACCAAGTCCCTTCCAGCGCTGAAAACCGTCCCTCCGAGATAGCAAGGGACCAGGGTGAGAGTGGCGTCCCACCTGGTTTTCAGAATTATTCCCTGCTTCCAGACTGGGTGTTCCCCGAAACCTCCCCTCCAAAAAGGAAGTCAATGCCATGTCCCCCAAATCCTGCAGCGTGTGTGTGGGACAAAGGAGCCCAACCCTGTTCCTCCCTCCTCCTTCTTCCTTCCCCTCCTGCTGGCTCCTGCCTTGCCCGTTCCCACTGGATGTGCAGAAGACTCGTAAATACCCAGCTGTCTTGGAAACACCAAGTCTCGAGGCTGAGAGCTTTAAATGGCACGAACATGTGCTTGAAGGGTATCACATAGCCCGATGCCCATGCCCCTCAGCCAGTGCCGAGCACACCCGTAAACAGATTCACCATCCAGCCAACTCCCCTGGGCAGGGCAGGGCAGGGCAGGGCAGGCAGATTCTCCAGGAACGCCCCCTTTACAGCCCTGCCCACCTGTCCTTGGAGGCATGTGCCTTTTAAAGGCTGGTGAGTTTACAGGGCAGATGAGCAGGGAGGTGAGCTGGGTCTATACAAGGAGGAGACAGACTGGTGGCAGGTGACCGAACCAGCCGCTGGGGACCAGCAGGCATGGCTTGGCCTTGAACCTGGCCAGTCTACCTGAGAGTGAATCATAGTCAGGAGCACAGCCTTACCCCAAACAAGCTTCTGACCTGCATTCCTGCCTTCTTCCCTCTCTTTTCTCTGCATGTGAACATCTCTTGCTTTCCCACCTGTGCTCTATAGGATCACTTTTTCCCTGGAGGGGTGAATAGAGTTCATACATGTTCCCCTATTTATCATTAATAACAAACTTATTATTATTGTTATTATTATTATTATTAGTAGTAGTAGTAGTAGTAGTAAGTTCTTATTATTAATAGTAAGCACTGCAAAGACAAATAGAGAACTATCTCCCAAATTCCTTTTTAAAGATTTTATTTATTTATTTTTAGAGAGAGGAGAAGGGAGGGAGAAAGAGAGGAAGAGAAACATCAATGTGAGAGAGAAACATCAATTGGCTGCCTCTCATATGCACCCCAACAGGGAACCAAACCTGCAACCCAGGCATGTGCCCTGACCAGGAATCGAACCTGCAACCTTTCGCTTTGCGAGACAAGGCCCACCAACTGAGCCACATGGGTCAGAGTTGCCAAACATTGTTTTAAGTGCTTAACATATATTACCTTTGAATAACATCAGGAAAAAAAATGACATTCTAAGAACCTCCAAAAATCCTCTTCTTCACAAAAACAATGCAAACATTGGCAAAAATGACCACAATCAACTTTTTCAGAACTCTGGAAATTAGCCAGTCTCATAGCAACCCAGCAAGGGCTTATTCAAGAAAAATGGGTGAGTCTCAGTAACAACAGTGAGGTTTGCGGTGCTTCAACTTGCTCCGGTCTCGTTTCCCCCCAAGTCCATCATCACCTTGACACCCACAGCCGCCACTCACGGTGAAGCCCAGCAGCCTGGCAGCCGCCCTAGGGGATCGAGCGGGCTGGATCTCTCTCAAAGCCCCATTCCCAGAGGACTGTCACTGTCTGATCTGCGGTAGTCCCCTGGATGTCCCCACTTGCAAGGCTGTCTTTATGTCATCTGACTCTGAGACCATCCAGTGGAAGCAGTAGTTTTCCCAGGGGGCGTTTGTCAAAAACAATGAGAAACGCCTGTTCAATATCATAACTGCCCGAAGCAATAGATGGCTGGGCAAACAGCAGTCTACCTGCAAAGCTGGAGAATGAGATGTCCATAGGTGGCTCTGAAAAGTTCCAGAACATTCCTCGGGATTTAGAAAACCCTGTGCACGCAGAGTGTGATGTGCATGCACCGGAAAGACCTGAGAAAGCCCTAAGCTCTCTCCTCTGGCGTACCTCGAGGCTGCGTGCAAGCAGAGAATGAAGGCTAGAGCAGAAAGGTGTGCTGCTCAGCTGAGTGCTGCACTCTCTGCTTAGCACAGGACCCCTCAGTAAAGACTGCAGGTGTATAAGTTCCCTGAATTTTAGGAAATCTCTGAGCTGGCCATCAAATTCACTGAGCAGAGATTTCAGTGGCCACATATGATGAAGAATATAGACATTACAAAATTAATTCTGAAAGTCACTAAACAAACAATAACAACAAGGAGTAACAGGAACAAACCTTGGGTAAGAGTGGGAATCTGATTTCTAGAGTTGCTACATTACGTTGTTTAAATTTCCCAGTTTTAAATTTACATTTTAATTTTTTTAATTATAAAACATGCAAAGAACTAAAAATATATGGCCCATACCTAAGTGAGGGAAAGAAATCAATAATAGATCCTTAAGGAAGCCCAGATATTGGACTTATTAGACGAAGACTTTAAATCACCTATTTTAGATGCATTCAAAGAACTGAAAGAAACCATGTCTAAAGGATTAAAGATAAGAATGATGTCTAATGACATCAAGAATATAAGCAATGAGATAGAAATTATTGTAAAAGGAACTAATAGAGATTCTGGAGTTCAGAAGTACAATGACTGAGATGAAAAATATTCACCAGAGGGGTTCCATAGCAGACCTGAGCAAACAGAACAAATCCATGAACCTAAAGATAGGTCAGCTGAGATTAGCCAGTCTGAGAAACAGACAGAAAAATGAACAGAGCCCGAGACACCTGTGAGACAGAATGAAATGTACCAGTATATGCAGAGTGGTACTCCCAGGGGGAGGAGGGGGAGGGGGGGAGGGAAAGGTGAAGGAAGGATACTGAAAAATCCCTAATAACTGAAAATTTTCCAAACTTGATGGAAAACATTAATCTAGAAACCCGTGAAGCTTAATGAACTCCAAGCAGGATAAATCAAGACCCAGACACATCATAATCAAAAGACAGACGAGTCGAAAGAGGAAGACAGACCTTCGTGCGAGCAAGAAGTGACTCATCACATACAAGGAATCTTAGTAAGGAAAACAGCTAATTTTTTTCCCCAAAATCATGGAGGCCAGAAGGCAAAATCATGGAAGGCAGTAGAGATAGATAGATAGATAGATAGATAGATAGATAGATAGATAGATCTCACACACACACACACATACATACACACCACATATATATGTGTGTTTTATATATATATATGTTTTATATATATATATACACAAAAATATATGCACTCATGTAATCCTCACAAAGTTTTCTATGAGGTCCATACTATTATCATCATCCCATCTTATAGATACAGAAAACGAGGCACAGAGAGTTTGAGTGATTTGACCAAATTCACAGTTACCATGGCAGAGTATCCAGGATTCGTACCTCTGAAATTCACCCTTTTCTTGGCCACTTTGTACTACTCTACAACAACCCAGTGATGAGACTTGTGTTGCATGGGTGATTCTCCTTCTACATGTGGGGAAACTGAGGCTCAGCGTGGCTTTCCCACAGCTAACCTGGTAACAAGCAGAGGCTCAACGGCCAAGTCTCAAACCCAGAGCCTCTTTGCCCTCCAGCCCCCTCCCTTACCTTTCACTCAACACACAGCTCCCAAAAGCTGCTGACCCGAGAAAACACAGGAGGCCAGCCTCTGCCGTGACATGCACCAGGAGCTGGTGCCGCCGAGGAGACTTCCCAGTGTCCCGTGCAGCCGCACAAAGCTGGGGGCTCTGAAGACACAAACTGTCTCATTTGATTTCCCACTGACCCGAAGAATTTCAGAGGATTGTCATGCACAAGATCAACACCTGAGGGCAACACTAGTGCCTCCGGAAAGTGAGTGGGACTTCCACAGCTGTCAGCAGAGGCTGTCTGGCCACAAGCCCATGGGCCGGGTGGAACACTGCCTCTTCCAGGCTCTGCCTCTTCAGGACACAGCGGCAGCCTGCCCCGAGGCCCTGTTTCCCTAGCGTCCCATCTCATCTTCCAGTACTTGGTGCAGGGACTGGGGCCATACACAAACACATGGTACTACTGACCCCAGGAATGTCAGGGGGCCCCTTTCCCATCCACACAATCCCATGCTGGAGACCCAGGCCGTAACTAGACTCCTCTCCCACAGGACAGCAGTGCTCTGAAGCTCTGGGGTAGGCTCTTGGGGGTTTCTCAAACCCATTTCATAAAACCCTTTGGTCAGCGGGTGGAGGGAGCCAGAGGACAGAGAAACTACTGTTGGAACTCGAAGAACTTTTACAAATAGAGGGAAGACAACCCGGGCAACAGATGCAAGTAAGAAATGGGTGAAATGTTTCTCTTTTTTTTCCTAAAAATTCTACTTATTTATTTTTAGAGAGAGGGGAAAGGAGGGAGAAAGAGACAGAAACATCAATGTACAAGAGACACATCAATTGGTTGCCTCTCGCACGCCCCCAACGAGGGACCTGGCCCTTAAGCCAGGCATGTGCCCTGACTGGAATCAACCCAGCAACCTTTTGGTCTGCAGGCAGGTGCTCAATCCACTAAGCCACACCAGCCAGGGCTAGAAGTGGGAGAAATGTTTCTTCCAACCCCTAAAGTACTAGTTCTCTTGGTTTTGTGTAAATCAACACAGTTTTTTTTATGTATTAACATCTGTAGCAACCAGCACCGGATACACCAACACATGCTCAGGGATCACACAAAAACACCCCTAGCTGCACTAGTTGTTCCAGCTGTCAAAGACAGATCTGTATTCTCTCAAGGATGGCTTACAGTTAAATGTACCTTCTGTTCTAGTTCTTTGAAATTGGCCCAGTTAGATGTGCTTCTGTGTAGTCACTCCCCTGACCACGGCATTTGGTTAGCCAGAACACTCCCACCCCAGCCAAGCCCAACAGCTGAGTTCACCATATTTTAAAAGAAATGACTCACTAAAAGGTTTAGACCACTGAGTCTTCTGACTGTTCATAGTAGGTATTTTTGAAATACAGAAAAATAGAAATACAGATTCTAAAAATTGCTGTGAGCCATTTGCAGAGACCGAAGGGGCTGGAGGAGCCTCAGAGCCCCTAACCAAGGCCCCAGGTCGTCCCCCTGGCATTGGGTTCTCCGCCAACTTAGTTCTACGCACTGCTTCTTCTGCCCTGTGAAGGGCCAGAGCCTGTCGCCGCAAAGCAGGACGCCCTGAGCTTTGTGGAAGTGTCACAGAGGCCAGGCAGGGCCCGGGGAGGATGCCAGAGTGGCAGAGGCAAGAAGGCTCAGGAACTGCACGGAATCGTCACTGCCCCCTCCTCCAAATCCCCTGCCTGTGACCACGTGGCCCACACAAGGCTCAATTCAGATGTCCTTCCTTTTCAAGTGCCCTCGAAGCTCACTTCACCCAGATAGCACCCAAAAGGGCAGGGACAGGTCTGCCCATTCCAAGAGGACCCTGGGCAATTCTTGAGTAACAGTGGCAGATGCCCAGCTTGACTCGTCCTAAATGAGCATCTTGTTGGTGCTGGGCGCGTCCAGGCGAACTCTGGGTCTGACAAGCTCCCACCTATGCTGGGCCCATCAGGGACCACAAAGCAGCCTGTGGTCTCCAATGGGCAACCGTGGGGCCCTGAGTGGGTGGCGTGTCCCTCCCAGGTTCAGGGCAAAAGGCACTGGCCTTTCTCATGTGTGAAGTCCAAGAGAGGAGACGGGGTTGGCCTTTCTGTCTTCCAGCCCTAAGTTCAGCCACATGAGACAGAAGCCGAGACTTCTACATGTCCTCGGCGGAAACCCTGCCCACTGGACTGGGTGCCCCTGTCCCCAACCCCCGTGTGTGAGATCACTGAACAGGGGAGGGGAGGGACAGGGGTGCTGTGCCTGGGCCCCTGCGGAGAAAACCCACCCCCCACCCAGGATCCACAAGCTTGCTTCCCAGGCATGCAGCTTCCCCCTGTGATCTCAGAAAGCTTTTGTGGCAACACCCAGGGGCAGCAGCGTTCGTGCAGAATGGAGCCTGGAGCTTATCTGGCGGGGATAATGACACAAAGGCAACTGTGTGGGCACAGCCGCAGCCACCCTGAGCCGCCGCGCAGCCAGGCTGCGGCCAGGAGCTCCTGGGCCTCCGTCAGGCCCTCCGCTCCGGGGGCCTCCAGCTCGAGGCCTGCAAGCAGTCAGGGAGGCAGCTGGACACGAAACACACTGGAATCCAGTCAATTCTTCTCACAGAGTTTTCAGTGACAACCAAAACTGGCCCTTAAAGAATGAAACAGAAAAATGCTCCTTTGTCCAGAGGGAGGTACGTGGTGACGTACGACATAGCACAAGCCACTTTGATGCAGTGATTCAACAGAAGCTACAGTGGATAATCTAACAAACAGAAGAGTGTTGTGCTTTAAAATAGCACCAGAAGCTGTGAGAGAGAAAAGAGCAGCTTCGATTCTGACGTCACCGCTGGTAGGCACACACCCCAGGTAACTCGGTTCAGAAGGAAAGTGATTTAAATATAGAAGCTCAAAGAGAAGGCGGTTTACCGCTTGGAACATTTACTGCGGCTAAGCCAGGCTTGATCTCCAGGGGTCACTTCCTCCCCCACAGCGGGAGGGGCAGGAACCCTGACGTGGGGGAGGAGGGGAGAATGGGAGGCCCAGGCTTCAGGGGGCAAGAGATGATTTAGGCCAGACAGAAGGAAGCCTGCATCCAGTGAAGGCAGGGCCCCAGGTGCGTCTCCGAAAGAAAGGAGGCGTCGATCGCCTCAAGAAAATGTAAATACAACCCGAAGGTAAAGAAATAAATGCACAAGCCAGATGTCATCTAAACAGGGATGTTTTCCTTTGAAGATCATGGATCCACATGGGCTTCATACAAATAAAAAGCAACCTAATTTAGTTTTCCTTTTTTTAAAAAAAGATTTTATTTATCTATTTTTCAGAGAGAAGGGAAGGGAGGGAAGAAGAAAGAGGGAGAGAAACATCGATATTTTTGAGAGATACATCAATCGGTTGCCTCTCGCACACATCCAACCAGGAACCCGGCCCGCAACCCAGGCATGCACCCTGACTGGGAATCGAACCGGCGACCCCCTGGTTCACAGGCTGGCGCTCAAGCCACTGAGCCACACCATCTGGGGCTAATTTAGTTTTCTTAAAGAAACAGAATAATAGAACCCACCCATCTACTTCCTAAATTAGGAGTAAAAAATATTGAATTGTATTCAATATGCAATAAGACTACCCTTTGAGTTTGTAGTATGTCTACTTATAAGAGAGACAAAAGGGAAAAAGAAGAGAAATTATGACTGAAGTTATATTTAAAATAGACATGAATTTCTTTGTTCCGAGACTTTCCTCTACCCCCTACCACATCCAGATTGTAGGTCCCGCTGTCCACACACCTTCTGTGGGTTTCCTGGTGCTCACCAAGTGGGCTGTCCTGGCTGGGCTGCCTCCACAGCCCCAGGCTCTGAGAGTCCGATGAAAAGACATGCTGGTCACATTTGGCCCGTGAATGGATTCTACAGCCTTCGCCCAGTCCATCCAGGTGGTCCCCTCAGAAAAGCACTTTGTGGGGCATTTTAGGGGCCTGGAGCAGGGCTCCCCAACCATCAGAATCTCTGGAAAGCTTTTGGAAAACACTGCTTGCTTCCCCAGCCACACCCAGGGAATCCAGTCGGCCTGACCGCCAACACACGGCTCTGGGTCGTGGTGTGCCCCAGGATTTCTTTCAGCACTGCTGACACTTGGGGCTGTCCTGTGCATAGTAGGATGTTTAACAGCATCTTGGCCTTTACCCAGTAGGTGCCAATGGCAACCCTGCCCACTCGTGACACCAAAAAATGTCTCCAGACATTGCCCAATGACCCCTGGGGGGCAGAACCAGACCCAGGTTGAGAACCACTGTTCAGCCCTTTGTTGACCATGCACCCTGTACTTCCTGACAAGTGACTTGAGAACTGGGCCTCAATTATCCCATCTGCCTAATGGGCTCAGTCCCCACAGCACTGCCTGCCCCTCTGCCTTGGTCAGCTTTGGCTCCCTGAAGCTCTCCCAGCCTCTTATGCAACCCCCTTAACCGAGTGAAATTTTGGTCTAATGGTCAGAGAAAGAGGCTTGTCTCAGCCCAGAGTGAGGGTCTGGGGACAAGATGACTGACCATGCAGCAGGTCCCTTCATGCCGCCCCAGTGGGGCCACATCTAGCCTTTCCTGACCAAGCTTCTGCCTCGGCTGCAGCCTCCTTTCTCTCAACTCATAGGCTGTCTCCCTCCTTTGCAGAGAAAAACTGTTCCTACTTCAGGCACTTTAACCCAGGAGAGAGCTCAGAGATCTTCGAATTCACCACTCAGAAAGGTAAGGCCGCGGCGGAAAGCAGGGAGGGCAGGGAGGACTGGCTGCCGTCACACGCTGCTGAGCCAGAAAATCATTTGGCACCGAAGCCCTGACTTCCCCGAGCTTGATGAAAACAGCCCTGTCACCCTCTGCGCCCCGGTGACAGAGGTGCTCCATCTCTCCGCATCCCCAGCCTCCATCCATCAGGGCTGGCGAGAGGCTGGAAAAGAGCTGGCCGCTGAATTGCAGAAGGAATGCGTTTTCCAGCAGAGCCCAAGGGGAGCTGTTGTGACAGGAGCTAGGGAAATGGAACAAGTGCTCATGTCCCTGCGATGGTTTTCGGGGCTGGTGGCTTGGAGTCCGTGGGGAACTGTCCCATTCCCTCCCTCACAATCAATCACGCCCCAAGAATAGGAGAATGGGGGGGCGTGGGGAGACATGGGCCCTGGGGGCCTTCAGGGAACCATGGAGCTCCTGCACCCCACTGTCGTGAGTACCGGTCCACACCTACACATGTGCAGACGGCTGCACACAGTGTGGGATGCACACACACTCTGATAGATCCTTATATGCTAGTGCATCACTAACACACACACTAGCAATCCTACACCTGTGGCACATGCACAGGCACGCACACAATCACAGCCGCCCACTCTGAAAGGAGCCACACTTCAGAGGCCGCTTGTCAGCCCCATTCTGACCGACTGCCTGCCCCTTCTGCCCTGTCACTCAGAGGAAGTTTTCTGCTCCAGAAAGGCCTCCAGTCACATGCCTCCTGCCTCTGAGGCCTCTGCCCCCAGGGTGAGGGGGGGGGTGGACTTGAAGTTTAGCTCAACCCAGGATTGGAATTAGGTCATTACCCGTGAGCGACTCTGAGTGCATGATTTCCTCTCAGGCCCTCAGTCTTCCCACAAACACCATGGGAACCACAGTATGTGGTATTGGCACCCACCGGTTGGCGGCACAGTTGGCCGCGGCCCGAGGCCCTGGGACGGGGCCGCTGAGGCGCCCTCTGGGCCGTGTGTGTGTTGCAGAGTACAGCATCTCGGCCGCTGCCATCGCCATCTTCAGCCTCGGCTTCGCCATCATAGGAACCGTCTGCGTGCTCCTGTCCTTCGGGAAGAAGCGGGATTACCTGCTGAGGCCGGCATCCATGTTCTACGCCTTCGCAGGTAGCACAGGGGCTCCCGCCCGAGCGCCCGGGCTGGGGGGCCGATGTCCCAGGGTGAGGGATGCTGCCGCCCGTCCTCACCCTGACCCTGTGATGTGAGTCTAGAGGGACGCCCAGGCTCCACGCAGCAGCAGGCCTGGTCCGTGTGCCATCTTCTCTCAGTGGGTCTAGGAGGGCAGGTGTTGGCAATTTGTCCGTTTCTCACAAAGACTTCATCAGCAAGCCACTGAGAGCAATGCCAGTTACTAACACACTTTAAATGAATCAAACGAAAATACTAACAAAAGATAGGGAGACACGCAGGTAATGTAACCTGAGGTTGGGCGAACTGTGCAGTGGGCAGGCAGCGGGGGCGCTTTCGCAGGTGTCCACTTAGATCCTCAGTCTCCAGTTTCCTCCCGCCCAGAGCTGGGTCTCCACGGTGCCCCGGAGCAGACGCCAGCTGGGGCGGGACCCTGAGCGGGCGGCTCTTCCCCGCAGGCCTCTGCATCTTCGTCTCGGTGGAGGTCTTGCGGCAGTCGGTGAAGCGCATGATCGACAGCGAGGACACCGCCTGGATCGAGTACTATTACGCCTGGTCCTTCGCCTGCGCATGCGCTGCCTTCGTGCTCCTCTTCCTGGGCGGCCTCGCCCTGCTCCTCTTCTCCCTGCCTCGGATGCCCCGCAACCCCTGGGAGTCCTGCATGGATGCTGACCCCGACCACTAGCCCTCCTGGGGCCCCAGCAACTCTCAGGGCTTTCCCCTCAGGAAGCGGCGCCCAGCCCAGAACATCCTAGAAAGGAGGCAGGAGCTTTCCATCTCCCCGGTTCCCCCACCTGCCCCAGAACAGCTGCCACCGTTTCCCCTCTCTGAGCACTTCTGTGGGCTGTGACAGGCTCCTCTGTGAATCCAGCAAGTGGCCGTGACCCAGACCTGCCCACGGTGCGGGGGAGGCAGGTCCGGCAGGTGCACAGGTGTTTGCAAAGGCCTGACCTTCCACCGCAGCTCCAAGGTGTCCCCATGGTGCCAGCTGTCTTTGATAAGCTGGCTCCCGTTGTCCTCTCAGCCTCACAGGGACACCCTGTGCGCACTGCCAGCTCCGGGTGCTCCCCTGTGTCTGTAGCCAGCCCCTCTGTCCTCAGTGACAAGATGCCCCCTTTTCAGTGAGCTGAACATTCTGTCCTTGGCTTCCAGGAGGCCTGAGAAGCATTTTTAACTGAGTATTTTCTGACTGTGGTTTGAAATAAAAGCTCTTTGAAAACTTGTTTTTTCCTTGTGTGGTGCCATAGCAATCGCCAGGATTCCTGACTACAGCTCAGGGGCCGCCCCGACACTGAGGGAGAAAGGAAAGCATGTCCCTGGGAATGCCGAGGACTCGTGGGCAGGGGGGTGGTGCCGGGCGGGACGAGGGGTCCTGTTTACCAACGAGATTCCAGCTTGTCTCTCTGGGGCCCGGGATTTTCTCTGGAGAAGCCAGAGACCGTCTGACTAGTCAGGGGTGTTAAAAATAGGAGGGGTTATTTCCAGAGCACTAGCACGCTAGGCATCCGAGTGCTGACACAGCAGCATGGCCACGAGTGTCTGATTTCTGATGCTGGATTTTTGTTGCAAAGCACCTCAGGAAGCAGGGCTTAGCAGTCAAACATGTAGCCACACGGGGTGCCAGCATTTCTACCCTCCTTCCTCCCAAAGCCCTGCCGTACTCACCCAGCCCCGAGAGACGGCAAGTCAGACGCAGCTGGCGGTGAGGACCCGTGTGCTCCTTGCCTGGAATGTGCACCGGACCGGAGGCTCTGTGTGGGGCCCATTCTCCCAGGGCGGGGGCCGCAGACCGTGGGCTGGGGGCCACACCTGGCCCCCTGTCTGTTGTACAGCTCACAAGTGAAGGATTCTTTTTTTTTTTTACAATTTTAAATGGTTTTAAGAAGTCAAAAGGAGATTAGCATTTCATGATGGGTAAGAAGAAAGATGGTTGACCTCATTCCTCATTCCACAAACTCCATTTTAGAGGTTAGTATTATTGGTTTATTATTATTATTATACTTTTAGCAGAATTAGATTGGTGTGCATTTTATATTTCTACAAGGGTGCCTGTATTTTTATTTTTTAAGGTTTTGTTTATTTATATTTAGAGAGAGGGGAAGGGAGGGAGAAAGAGAGGGATAGACAGAAATATCAATCTGTTGCCTCTTGTACACACCCTGACCAGCAAACAGAACCACAACCCAGGCCTGTGTCCTAACTGGGAATCAAACCGGTGACCCTTGTTTTGTAGGATGACACTCACCTCACTGAGCCACACCAGTCAGGGCAGGTGCCCGTGTTTTTAGCACCGAAAAACACTTGTGACTGGCTACCCGCTGGGCAGAACACATGTGGCTTTATCGAGTTTTGATTCTTTCAAGAGACAAAGGTGTGCCAGGAACTGCTGTGCAGACAGAGGGACTGGAGAGCGGCTGCTCCTGCCACTGCTGCGGAGAAAAAGTCAAAGCGACTATGCAAAATAGAGCCCAACGCTGGAGATAAACAAACAAACAAGCAAATCCACCAAAGCAGCAGAACACCCTTGTCTTCCCAGCCTACCACCTGGTGCTTGCCGGGAGGGGCAGCTGGGCAGTCCAGCTCAGGTGGGGTCTAGCTCAGGCGGGGTCTGGCTCAGGGGTCTGTCTCAGGAGTCAAGGCGCCCGTGGGCCCTGACTGCAGTGGCCAGCCAGGCCACGCCCAGAGGGCCCGGGGGCGGGGGGTGAAGTAAAGCAGCTGGACGTTTTGCCCTAACGTGTGTAGTTAGCGTCAGAAATCCACAGCCGCTAATCCCTTGCTGAGCGCGCATGAATTCAACAATCGTCAAACTCTGAGGTTCCATAACACTTTCACTTTTCCAGCCTTTTAAAATCCATCAGATTCTAGGAGGCGAGGAAGGCAGCAGAGCCAAGACTAGCAACTCGGCTGTCCAGATGAATAGCATTCGCGTGGGATATGCTAAAACGCTCGGGTAAAATCCACATGGCATGAAGTTGGCCACCTTCGCCACTTCTAGGTGCACAGCTCATTGGTGCCGGGCACGTTCACGTTGTTATGGGGCCGACTTCCGGAGCCCTTCAATCTTCCAGAAACGCAGTACCCGTTAAACAGCTCCCCAGCGCCCCCACCCCCCGCCACGCCTGGCGACCACCACCCTACTTCCTGTCTCTGTGAATGTGACAACCCCAGGTGCCTCCTGTGAGTGGAATTGTAAGAGTATTTGTTCCTTTGTGTTTGGCTTATTTCACTTAGTATGGTGTCCTCAAATTTCATCCGGGTTTTATCCTCTGTCACAATGTCCGTCCTCTTTAAGGCCGAATAACCTTTCACAGAAGGTGTGGGCCACACTTCGGTTCTCCATCCGTCTGCGGACACCTGGGCCGCTTCCACCTTTTGGCCGTTGTGAATAATGTGGCTACAAACCCAGTTGTACGAGTATATCTCCAGGACCACACATTCGATTCTTTTGGATATATACTGTGAGATTTTTTTAAAGTCAAAATTGTTGCCAAATGTCCATGATGAACATGATGTCATAAGTAAACTGAGGCAGACCCTGAATCACTGATGTTCCCCGTGGTGTCACAGTCACTCCTCAGCTCTGCCTGGCAGTGGGAGGGGCCGCAGGGACGCCCAGTGCACAGAAGAGAGGCCCGGAGCCCGGAGAAGCACGTGCTCCCTGGGCGCCGGAGAACTGGCGCCCGAACAGGAGCGGCACTGAGGCTGCTGGGCTCCCACCAGGGCCCCTCCCCCGTCCTGCCTTGCCTCCACGCCAGGCAACTGGGGGAACCAAGAGACATGTCACCCTCTCTTCGGCGAACACATAGAAAGTAGGTCCTTCCCAAGTCTTGTTCTTATTCATCCCTCTTTGAGGCTGAACATATCAAGGATCTCTGTGTGCCTCTATCTTCCCCGGCTAACCCGGAAAGAGGGGTTTTAATTGTATCCTATTACAATATTTTCCCTGCCAGTGTGACTTGTCCCATTTCCATAAAATATTTTATTTACAAATTCATGTCTAATTCATACCCTGCCCGCTTGCAGAAAAGATCGGAGGTGGGAACAAAGTATTCAAAGCCCCTGAGGTGCAACATCCCCATTAAACCCACGATGGGGCTCAGGTGGGGACGCTGCCACCCGTGGCTGGCTCACTCCTCCAGCTCACCTCGGGTGCAGCCACTGCGGCCGAAGTGGGTGCCCACACAAGGCCATTACCAGGAGTGATGCCCTCTCCTCTTCTGACTCTGCTCCTGACAAGAATTTTTGGCCTTACTGTGAAAGACCCAGCCTCGTTTACATTCTTGCTGATTTGGGATTAGACTTGCCCCTCTCTTCACCCACAAAGCAGTCCTGGTAACCCCAGGGGAAGACGGAGGGTGGGGGATTCCTCTCCAGCACAACCCGAGTGCTGGGCTCCTGATTTCACAGACGACATGCTCCCCGTCCCCACCCTGCCAGGCTAGAACTTGTGCTTCGCTCCAGCAGGGTCTGAGGGTGACCAAGGGCATGTCTTAAAGCACTAATGAGCTTTCTAAAACCAAGGATACAATTTTACCTGGAAGCACCCAAGTGGCAGGAAAATGAGGAAAGGAAATGCCACAGCTGAGGCCGGCAAACCCGTGACACACGGGAAAGCGGGCCGGGCCACGGGGCGGCCGCGGTTACGAAGAAGGGGTGAGCCTGCGGGGCGGACGGAACAGGAGGACCCCCGCTGTGCGGGTTTCCAGAGGTGCGATCTACGAGAGAGGACACATGGTGCCTGGCTGAAGGAAGCCTCTCCCCCTCTAACTGCACCCAGATAGTTGGACGATGTCTCAAGACAGAAAGGGCACCCTTGCGATGGGTGAGGCCCCAGCTTCACCCTCGGCCAGAGAAGCCGCCCAGCCCACATGCACATAACAGGCTTCAGTTGTTCCACCTGGGGCAGGAGCCACCACATGCTCAATGCGTCTCAGGCATCATCTTGGGACCTAAAAGACCTCCAAGGAGTTCCAACTCGTGCTGGAACTTTCTGCGAAGGAGACCTTCAAGTTTCTTCAGCCGTTTCTCTGCATGCATTTCAACTTCTTGCCTGTGTTTCACAGATGGGGGGGTTTGCCCCATGGTAGGCAGTCTTTGTAAAACTCAGGCCTGTGCCTACCTGCTCAGGGAAAAGGGTACGAGCAGATACACTTCTGTTTATCTTTCTGGACCACAGGTTTGCTCTTGTTGTCCAACCGAAACAAAACAAGGAAAATAAATCAGCACTGGATTTAGATATCAGACGGCATCTGCCTTTCGTGAATCCCAGTTTCAAGTGTCTGTGTGCTTCAGAACACCCTCGGTGCTCTGATGAATTGATCTTATAAGAAGCAGTCATAACTGTATTTACTAAAGTTATAAAAGTAAAACATACATTTACATACTACATATTTAGGCCTTACATGTTTAGGTTCTAACATAACACTGTGGTGGGTGTTTTTGTTTTTGTTTTTAAGATTCTGCTGCTTAAGATTTTTGGAAACCATCGGCAACGTTCCTTCTAGCTACGTTCCATGCAGAATTTGCGGTCAAAACCTGTAGGAGTTCGAGAAAGAGCTCTTTAAAATAACTTTCTCTTGTTTACCGTACAGATGGCCAAGGAAGGATCTGAGGAAAGAAGGGGTACGATGAAGACGGACGGACAGGGGTACGAATGAGCCGTGTCTGCAGGGCAGAGATCACGGGCGGAGACAGTAGCTAGAAGCTACAGGGTAGGAAGTGCGCCCTTTTCGAGACCTACAGCTTTGCCTTTCACCTGTCAGCTGACAGGTGTCTGGAATAATTCTCCATCTCTCCTGTCACCACGGATTCCCTCCTCCAGCCATGCAGTCTGTCTCCCTGCCACTGGAACTGGTCTCCTGAAAGTCACCAACGACTTCGAAGGTGCCCATTGCACCCTGCTACACCTTTCTGTAGTGTTTCGTGCTTCTGACCTCTGCGCCCTTCTGAAAACTCACTGATGCCTCTGTCTGTACTGTTCCTCTCCATAACGTTTGTGTTTTTATACCTGCCCCTTAAACTCCGGTGTCTCCAGAGTTTTCTGTCTTCGGCCTCCACATCTCATAGTTTCTAAGAATTCCTTCCGCCCCTGTGTCTATGGCCCTGGCCTCGGCCTCTGGCCCATCTCCGCTCGCAGGTTTCCTGCTGCCTTTCGCTGGGTTTTAGGAGGGCCTGCTCCCTGGATGTTCCAGCGCTCCCTAGA